TTGAAAGCTTCTAATGCTGCAGACTGATTTATTTGGGCAAAACTCCATTTCTGGTTCCTGGAACTACTTTAAGTGGTTATTTTTAAACATTGGTAACCACAAAATTAATTTGTTATTCTTACTATTTAATACTGTGAAGGACTATGAAATAGTGTTAATATTTCAGGGTAAATTAATTGAAGTGGGCTGTTTTCTGACTATTGAAAACCTTAGCTGGATTTTAAATTTTTTATAATTTATTTTGAAGAGATTAAGTAAAGCTCTCCACGTAACTTTAAAAGAATATAATTTTTAATAGTATTTTTCAAACCACATGCCTTATGACCCACGAGTGAACCATACTAAAACCAACTTACTTGATTACAATCAGCATTTTTTTTTTTTTGCAATGAAAGAACAGAACAAGATAAATTGGAATGGAATAGAATAGAATAGAATAGAATAGAATAGAATAGAATAGAATAGAATAGAATAGAAGTGTTCATGCGCGGTAAGGGTAGTATTTCATTAAATATTCAAATCAGTTATATATGTGTTTGTATATGTAAAATATATTTTTACCAATTCGTAAATTGATAGATAATCTATTAGCAGTAAAATTCATCCTTTTTAGTGTGGAATTCTATGAATTTTAACAAAGGTAAATATATCTCTGTCAAAAAAGTGAGAAAACCACTTAAAACAAGAGTCCATTTAACTAACTGAAATATTCATGAAGGATATGGTTCTTTGAAGATCTTTGGAGGCAGTGACAACTGTCTTATCTTGGAAGATAATTTCATACACCCCAAATTTTAAAGCCAAATGGGACCTTGGAGATTGTTCAGTCAATGGTTTTCAAAACTTTCTTTGTACAGTGACAACTTTTTGATAAACTAAATCTAACACGGAACCCCAACATATGAAAGTACTCTTGACTTGCACAGAGACCAGGAAAAACAGTTTGAAAACTACTAGTGGGGTCTGTCTTGTGCCCAAGTTGGGAAACTGAGGCCAGAATAGGCTGCGTGACCTGTCAAGGTTGACCACTCTTTTTGGCAGAGCTGGAGCTCAAACTCAAGCTGTCATTGGCTGTCATGTCTCTTGGGCTCAAGAGAATCATGAGTATTACTTAACCCCATGAAGGGGATTGGGTGGATACCTTTTTGGAACAGTGTAGTGTGTCTATATAGATACATACCATTACAGAAGAAAGGATAGGCCAATGATCACCATGGCCAGCAGAAGTATGAGTCAGTCCAAGTTGTTTGGGCAACACAAATTACTTAGGGAAGCTAGAGCCTGAGTATAGAGCCAGGCCTGGGAGCCCAGTACCAGAAAGAAAAGTAGTAAGCCTCCAGAAAGTGAGGAATCAGCCAGGTCCTTAGAGCTGCCCACTTCCTGATGATTCATCCGTGGGTTGTCTGCCTCTCTCTTCCTAAAGGGCCATGGCTAGGCCCCCACCTGGAGTTGCAGTTTAAATCTAGCCTCTTGGTCATACAAGAAACTGGCTGATTTGTCTCCTTTCTTATCTGGGACTCTTCTTTCACTTTCTTACTCTTTGGTTTGTGAGTGGGAAGTGGGGGGCAGGCAGGGAGGCTGCCATGCAAGCCAGGGAATATAAAACCCATACTCATGGTATGTGAGTTCTGCATCATGGGCTTGTTACTCCCTGTATCTATTCAGTGAACTTGCTTCAGTGTTTGGGCCATAATGCTAAGAACACAAAACCCACCGATTCTTTATGAGCCTGCTATACCAGAATACCACAAATTGCCATTAAATATCCCACCACCTCAACCTCACCGATGAAAAGAGAAAAACAAACCATAGAGTGGGGTTAGTAACAAAGAACATTCTTCTATCAGAGCAGATACCACGTCGTGTAAAGCTGAGGAAATACTGGGTTTGACGAGCAAACCACTGTCCCATACATTTTTAGAAGAGGACATTAATGAATATGACCTTGAAAAAGTCACCTTAATTCCTCTTTCAGATAAATTCCTATAATACTAAATTTAAGACAGGTAGATACCCAATGACACCACTGAGTTTTTAGCTCACACCAAAATTCTCCAAAGAGGAATAGGGTCAAATGAACCATCCTCTTGCCTAGACATTATATATACAGGGTTGTTTCCATTGATAATTCAGGGATCATGTCTCTGTCTTTATTGAAAGAATTATTAACACTTTTTTTTTTTTGTAATTTGAGTTTTTAAGTGGGGAACTTGTGTGATTTTCTGGGTATCCCTGAAATAGGTCATAGTAGCCTCACTCTAACATAGGGTTTTAAATTGTTGGAATTCTCAAAATACTAATGTGTGCTCATATACCAGCATACAGTTAACATTCTAGAATAATTAGATAATTTTCTTCATGTGAGTTTTTAATGCAGCCTCACCACACTCACTCCCAACAAAGGTGTGCACTGAGGGGATCACTTCTCATATGGTTAAGCAGCAGGAACTCCTATTTTTAAAAGAAGTATAGGGAATATTTGGGGGGGGGTAAGATTTTTTTGGTTGAAACACAAGGTGTGAGCTGATAGAGTTGGGTGTAGAAAACAAGAAACAGCATGCATTCTTAAAATTAAGGGGGGAAGTTGAGATAACAATTGATACCTCTTCTTTGATAAGCAGAAGTTGACAGACACAAGAAGATGATGACCTTTCAGGTATCAGAAGGTCATGGGGTATCCTGTAGGGGGAAAAAGGTTTAGGTATAATTATTTAATGAGTGAAGTCAATGACAGGAGTATTTAACAATAATACTTAATCATCTATTTAACTTATACATGACATTGCAATAAATAGAAAGCAGATCTATGAAAAACAGATAAATATTTATTGGGCACTTTTGTTGTGAGCCACGCAGCAGAACGTGGACAGGCTAACTTAAAGTGCTGCGGGAGACCCAGACTCCAGGAGGTTCAAGAGCATGATGAAATCAATCAAAACCACATTCAAGTGACAGGAAATGGATTATGGGTTACTTGACTAGTATCTCCCACCCGAATTGGAATAGTTAAGTGGAATGTTTGCATTTTGCATCCACAACATAAGAGAAGAGCATGGCAGGTTTTTGTAAATACAGTAGTGAATACAGGTTTTTGATTTGTTCTGACTGGGATTTCCCTTCTTGGACAGTTACTCACTCTGTGACCTGGGACATTTTATGTAACCTCTCTTAGCCTCAGGTTCCCCATCTATAAAACAAGGTAACAGCGATCTCACAGAGCTTTTGTAAAAAGGAATGAAATGGCGTCTGTAAAACAAATTGACTTGGTACTTTATAGCAAATAGGTACTGCTAGTCTGTGATATCTGTTTTAGTTACTGTGTATCTAATAAATGTTGATTGATGAACTTGGTGAAACAACACATAAGAATGTTATGTTTATTAAAAAGGTCCTCTTTACGTAAGATGGAATTTTTTGCTTTAGGCTTCTTTGTGCTTAATTTTTACAAATCTAATCCACAAAATTGACTTAGTGTCATCTCTAGGGGTCTTGGGTCAAATTCTTTGTGAGAGGCATATAATGTAGAGGCTACCACTAGAGGGCTCTGCAGTGATTGGCTATAGTAATGAGGAGGACACAACCTTGAGAAGCCATCGCCTTTTGGAGACTCAGGGGCCATTCTGTCCATTGTGGCTCTTCAAGAGGGCAAGTAATAACAGGACAACTTGTAGGAGCCACTTCCGCCACAGAGACCTGGGGGTATACAGGTGGATATCACTAGAACCTCTTGCTCTAAGGTCATTCTCTACCTTTACCACTCCACCAAGTCACCCTTCTGGGGGACGAGAATTACATTGTACAGTAGAATATCAACTTTGAGACAGGAAACCAGGTAGAGCGGGAGCTTCTCAAACTCTGGGTAAAGACTTAACAATAATAACAAAACCTACCGTGAAGGGCCAATTAATCTTCAGTTTCCCAGAGGAGGCTGGGACCCAAACTGATGCCTGGACACGTGTGAGTAAGATGCCCATAAAGCTTTGTGGACTTCTGGGGCTGCCCAAGCCCTGTGCATCCTACCTGCAGGGTGGTGGCAGGGCCCCTTTATTAATGATGCATTATCGTTGGGTAATTGCCCTGGGGACTCGGTGGTCCCTTAAAGCTCAACCCAGCCAATGATGCAGTAGGAGGGCCACTGCTTTTTTAAAGGCATCATTGGCCAGTAGCTTACAGCTGGGTCTGAGTGGGAGCCCTGAGACCAGTGCCTGCAGAGGTAAGTGCCAGACCCGCTGCTGACACACGAAACTGGGAGTTGGGCAGAAATGAAATTTTCTCCACCTCCCAGGGAGTTGGGCCTCGCCCGCAGTAGGGGCAGGAAAAGAAATCTCCAAGCCTGGGTTTTCTTGTTGCCACATTGCTCTGTGGACTCTGCATCTTCTTCCCCGCTCTCTACCCCCCCCCAATTGTTGTCCACCGATGCCAGACAAAATAATGGGGCTCCTAGACTCTTTCAAAGAAGTTAAACGCAAGCCAAGCCGTGGGAAGCTTTGCTTTTTTTCCGACTTCTTCCTGTAAACCACAGTTGGGGACTTGGTGCAGGGAAGAGTCAGCTCTCAATCCGAAGTCAGACGCCTGGCTTTTTTAAACTCGTGAAACACTGAGGCTAAGTTCTCGGGTCTCCCCTCCCGTGAGCTGGTGGCGATAAAGGGCTGGTCGGGAAGCCGCTGGCCAGCCCTGGCGCCCTGACCCGAGGCCACAGCCAGGACAGGGCCGGGAGGGAGGGCCCCGGGCTGCGGGGCTGGACGTCCCAGGGCGGGGGGCGGAGCAGGTGAGCCCGTGGGGTGGGCGTGGGGAGTGCACTTGTACGTGACGTTGGAGTTTGCAGCAACCTCCAGGCAGGAGTCTGTGGGCGCGTGTGTGGAGTGGCTGCGCGGCCAGGGAAGATGAGCTCGGAGGGGCGGCCGCCGCAGTGAGCCGGGCGGCGACAGGAGCCCGGCCGGCAGCCCCGGGGGCAGGGCCTGAGCGGCCAGCCGCTCGCGCTTCTCCGCGGCGGAGGCCACCGGGACCGGACCCGAGAGGCGCGCCCCGGCCGGCCCCAGGATGTAGGCGATCGGCGGAGGCGCTCCTGCAGGCGGACGGCTCATCATGAAGAAGCACTCGGCCCGGGTGGCCCCGCTCAGCGCCTGCAACAGTCCGGTCCTTACCCTCACCAAAGTGGAAGGTAATGGCCTGGGGCGGCGGGGGCTGGCGCGAGGTCGCTGCACCCCGGCGTGGGGCGGGGGGGCCGCCACCCTGTCCGGACTGCCTGGCCGTGGGTGCCGTCGCGCTCCCCAGGAAGCGTCGCCCGCAGTGCAGCGCCCCGATGCCCGCTGCCTGCGGGGGACTGGCAGCTCGGTAGCTCCTGGGCCGGGCTGAGCCGCTGCGGGGTCTGCAGGACTGTCCCTGCGCTGCCAGAACACAGCGCTGGCTCCTTCCTGCGGGGCCCCCAGCGCATCTGGCAGCAACAGGGGCAGCGGTGGCCTGAGCTCCTGCCGGTCCTGTCCTGGGGCACCTGCCAGCTGGGACCGGGGAGGAGGGGGTCTCCTTCACCCTCCCCCCCCCCACAGGCATGCACACACACACACACACACACACACACACCACTTGAATCCCCTGGGTTTGGAGCATCCCCTCCACTCCCACCCCCACCCCCAGGCAGACCAGAGGTATTGCTCAGCCCTTGAAGGCAGGAGATGCTGCCGCAGGCCCAGCCATCTCTCCTGCCCCTGAAGCTGACCAGCCCACCCATGTGACTGCCCAGCTCCACCAGCAGCCTGTAAACAGGTCCTTTCCCCCACTCAGGGGAAAGACACAGGCACATAATCAGACAAAGCTATCATTCTGCTGGTCTGGGACCTTCTTTTCTGGAGGGGCGGGGGGATGCAGAGAGAGACCAGCCTCAGTCCTTAACTTCTTCTAGCAGAAGGCGGAATGACCAGTGTCCGTAGAGTTGGCCAGTTTAGCCAAGTGAGGGCTGGGAAGGGGCCACCAGCCAGTGGGAAGAGGAAGGCAGATCCCCTCGGTTCCGGGCCCTCACTTATCCTGAACTAACAGAGCCCAGTGCAACCTTTGCGGAAGGGAAAGCCCAGCTTCTGCCATGCCCTGGGGCCACAGCCTGGAGCCCGGACCTCTGTGTGATAGCTTCCAAGGACCTTGATCCTCTCAGGAGTTCTTGTTTGTTACAGGGAGACAGAACCAGTAAGAATAAGACAGAAGCTAGCAGGGCACTTGGGTACACGCAGCCCATCTGCAGAGGTCTGCCAGGAGCCATCCTGGTACCATTACCCCCATCCTACAGATGAAGACTATGAGACCGGGAAAGGTTGGATTGACTTGTCCCAGACCTACAGCTAGCTAATAGATGGTGAAACAGGAAGGGAATCCTGGGCCCTCTGATCCCCAAACCCATGCTTTTCAGAATGTTTTTCTGCAATAACCTGCAACTACTTACCTTTTTCATCATTTTCTGTCTATAGAAGGTTGCTTTTTTTTTTCCCTTCGTGTACCTGTCTCTTCTTCCCCTCCCCCATCCCCATCTCGGGAGAGACTTGATATCTGTCATCTACACCTGAATTGAGTGCAGCTGCCGACTTTCCTAAGGGGGTTTGCATTTCCAAGCCTTCTTGGGGACACCACCCAGATGTACATGCAAGTTGGGGAGAGGAAGGGTTAGATACATATTTACCTTAGGGAACGTGGAAGTGTCTACTCACTCCTGGGGTCCTTGTGGGAAGTCACACCACGCCCACCTTTTAAGTAAGGCAGGTCGGTGCTGCTCCCCAACAATAGTGTCACCCCTGGTAATCCCCAGCCCATCGTGCAGGACGGGTCTGAGCTGCTCTTGGGAGTCAGGCTGGGCATGGATGGTGAGGTCATCCAGGCTCGGTGCTGTGACCCAGAGGTGCCGCAGGGGGCAGCGGGTGACATGCCGGAGCCAGGGTCACCTTCAGGGAATAAAAATGGGGATACCCTTCCCCAGTTCCCGTAGGGCTACTATCAGACGAGCTTTGAGTTTCCTGTCCACGCTGACAACCTTAGCAAGGCGCGAACTTGGTTTTTTAACCAGCATTTGCACGTACCTATGGTGTGGGTAGTGGACAGTGTATGTAACAGAGAATCTGAGAGATCAGGGATCAAGACTGTGCTCTTCTCCCTGTATCATTGGACTTGTGTAAACCATAACGACTGGACCTCGGTTACCTAGTTTGAGCCCTTGTAAAACAGAAGTAACAACCTACCTCAGCTGACTTGTGGGAATGCAGCGAGGTAGGCTAGGTGATAATACCTAGCACCTGTCTGGCACACAGTAGGTGCTTAATAAATGTCTGGCAGTCCTCCCATCACAGATCGTCTTGCGCCTTCAGCAAACCATCTTGCTGTTCTCAAGGAGTACGTGTGGGGATGGTATCTGGAAGCATCTGCACAGTTCCAGTGATACTAGAAAGCCCCAGGTCCCGTTCTGTATGGGATCCCTAAGTGTATGTCAGCAGAAGTCTTCAATCCAGGATAAAACCTGCCCTTCACATGCCTGGGCATATACGTGTAGCCCTTTTTTCTCTGCCTGTTTTTTTTTTTTTTTTCCTTGGTGTTTTTGTTCAGTTTGGCTTTGGGTCTATTTTTTGAAACATTTGCATCTCGTGTGCTTGCTGTGGAAGTGCTGAATCATTTTGTTTTGCCTTGGATGCACAGGGCAAGGTGGTCCCCATACTGTGGTTGTTTCTGTGTGGAAGGCAGACAGGCTACAGTGATGGAACGCAGCCAGCAAGAAATATTTATTAGGTTTTGGAGTGTGTCTTCTATGGAGAGGCAAGAAGGCACCAGCATGCAGTACATAAAAAACCAAAATAGAAAATGCAATGCTTGAACTTCAACACAGAAAAATGAAAAAGATGACTTCATTTACTCAACAAATACCTCGTCCAACCCTACTCCATCCTACTCCATGTCCCTTGTCCATTTAGTGAGGCCCTAGAAATGCAAAAACGAACAACATTAGCTTCATTCCCTTAAGGAAGTTTTAGTCTAGAGGAAAAGAGACATGGAGACCGATCCATTTTCTAGTATAAGATAGTAAGTTCTGGTTCAAAGCTAAGAACAGAGTGTCACAGGGACACTGATCGTTAAGTAATGTGAGGAGACCCTCCTAAGGAGGAGGCCTTCTTGAGGAGAAGACCTTTCTGAGCAGGAGGAGACCTGTCTGAGGAGGAGGCATTCTTGAGGAGAAGACTTTCCTGAGGAGGAGGAGGCCTCTCTGAGGAGGAAGCTTTCTGAGGTAGAGGTGTTGTAACCGAAGTGAGAAAACTTGTCAGGCACAGAAGGGAGGGAAGGCTGTTTCAGGCAGAAGGAATGGTGTGTGTACAGGCTTGGCCAGGAAGCCTAGAAGGAGAGAGCAGCTGGGCCCCAGTAAGGGCTTGAGGCTTGAAAAGTGGTTCCCAGCCAGGTTGATGGCATCTGTCCCGTCTGACAGCGTATCTTGTTCTCATATCCTTTTCCTCTCTTTCCCATCGGACTCAGACACCGAATATCGATCAGTAACACATGTCTAGTCGAGGAGTATTTCCTGGGATCATCTGTGTTCACAACCAGCTAATTCACATTCACTACAGTTACATTCAGTAGGAATTAGTAGTTGAGAACAGTATAACAGGTTTCCCCAAGAGGCCTGGCAACATGCAGTCAGGTGGGAAGAATGAGGGCTTTGAAATTAGACGGATGGGGTTAGTGCCCGCCTCTCATGCTGAGCCAAGTAACTTTGGCAAATGATTAAAGCTCAGTGGGAATCCGTTCTCTCATATGGAAATGAGTGTTGACAGTACAGTCCCTCTTACTAATCAGAGTAATGGGTTTTTTTGCTGATGAGCCTACCATGTTGCAGGCACTTTGTTGAGGGAGGTCGCTACCTTATTGCTATTTCTCCTAAAGGAAGTATAGGCACTGTCACCCCGGTTTATAGACAAGGAAGCTGAGTTTCAGAGAAATCATTCATGCAAGGTCATGCGGTTGGAAAGCAAGGGTGCTGGGCTCCATGTCAGTATCTACCTGGCTCCAAAATGTTGCAACACCTCGGTACAATTGCATTTCATTGGAAGAGCAGTGAGATTTACATCTGCTGATGGCACTTTGAAAGCGTTCAGGAAACGTTTGCTCACTGGAGCTCCCACTACAATAGGAGGTAGAGGTCTGGACCGTCCCTGGGGCTCCCTGTTGTTGATATTCTCTGCTCCTGGGGAAGTTAGCCTGTCTCAGCCACCCCCACTGTAGGTGTGGCTACTTTGTTTCTATTAATGGGGTAGGGCTGTCATCCTGGGATGCTCCGTGATCACGTAAGTGGAGACCCAACCCTGCTGGTCCAGTCTGAGAGGAGTCTTGAAAAATATACTGCCGAAGTGTTCCTGTTCCCAAAAATGTTTCCCAGGTTGGATTGTCTGAGACCTGAAACCTCAATAACAAAAGTCACTTGTATATTGAACAAATATGTTACCTAATCGGATATTACTGAAGATGAACCAGCTATCACTGAGGATGCCAGGGGGAGTCAGTTATAATCCTGACTCAACAGAGCTTCCAAACAAGTGAGAAATGTCACAAATGCATATAAATAACAATTACATGTTGGAATCTAATTTTTTTTTAAATTCCATGAAAGGATCATAAAATAAATGGCATGTTTCAGCAGAGGGCGAGCTCACTTCTGGCTGGGTCGCAGTTGGCCACCACGCAGCTCTCTTGCCCCTGTTCCCCCCTGCTTTGCCAAAATGACACAATCTAATGACAGTCTTTCCCGCTGAGCCTGGATATGGCCTCAGAATCCTCCTCCTTACCCAGATCCAGGTGATGACGATCCATTCTTTGGACTTGGACTTCAGCATAAGCAGGGCAGCGTGGAAGAGGCTGTCCTGTGGCCTCCGGGGTCATGGGCAGGAGGTTCGAACGCAGTGTTCCTGGGTTCCTGGCCACAGACAGAGGTGCAGAGCTGGGAAAGGCTAGTACTGCGAGCCGCCGGCTGGGGCCAGAGCTCGTGTTGCTGCAGAAGCTGGGGGGGAGGGACGGGGCCGGGGTTCGGAGGCCTCCTGAGTGCTGGGCTCAGGAGAGTAGAATGAAGCAGGCAGGAAGGGGAAAGGCACCATCGAAGTCTGAGAAAATCGGACAGTCTTCTATAGCTGGGTGTTCAAAATGGGTCAA